TGTGTGTGTGTGTGTGTGTGTGTGCGTGCTGCAGTGAAACACTGCGTGCTAGGTGTCGCATACCTTGATGCACATCCAAAAGAAAAAGGTGACACAAGCTGAGCGCTATACAAATGTGCATGTGTCCGTGCTAAAGTGCACCATGTTGTGAAATCCAAGCCACGTTATGTCCCACTGCCAGCTTTCCAGGTTTCTACAGATAATCGCGTCGGAGAAATGACGTCATAAATGACATCGCACACAAATGTAGTAGCAAGAGAGCTCTGGTTGTTCAGAGACACTGTGTAATCCTTTCGGACTCTCTTATTTCATGTCGTCTTAGCTCTTTACCTCCCAGTGCAGTCACTTCTGTAACCACCCATTCCTCCTTAATCCCAGAATGCTCTGTTCTTTCCTCATTGTACCAGCAGAGAGTTCTGGACAAAGAACGAGCGTTGCAGAGAGAAAGAACAGAAAGCAACAGACTGCAAACTCCCTCTTTCTTTCTGTCGTTATAAAGAGCCTCTTAATTTACCCAAACCAGTTTTCTCTCATCTGTTTTGTTGTTGTGTTTTCACTCTGGGAAGTGATAGCTTTAGTTCTTGTTAATGGCCTTGGTTTGCTCCTGATTTAGATGCAGAAGGGCAGGTGGAACGAAAGTGCGGTGTCCACACCGGCCTTCTCGGTCACAAGCCCTGAGGAGAGATGCTGGCACTGTCGAGCGTGTCTCTGCTGCAGTATTGAGAGCAGATGACTTAGCATGAGTCAGCAACTCCCCGGAGCGAAACTGGCAACATGATTCCTGCAGAAGGATATTTGGGTTGTGAAACTCATGAGTGGCTCAGTCTGTTAAGAAACTTCAGCTCAGCCCTATCTTAAGTTTTGCATCTGTGGATTAATGAACATTTGTTGTGCAAGGGACAGCGTTTTTATTTTCTGTAATGTTGTCAGGGCAGACATTTTGTACATAGATTCCAGGAAATCTGATAATATTGTTGTTGTCTTTTGCATTCAAGGGAAGGATTTGGATTATTGATTCAGATATTTTGCACTTCTTGTAGATGAGGAAAATCACAAAATGAGATTTTTAAATGTCTCATTTGTCACTCCTACACAGCAGTGAGGGCAAACAGAGACTGTTGCTTGCGTCTCCTGCGTTTATTAGACCCCAGTATTCTTACAGAAGAGCTCTGGACTGTGCTCAAAAATGCCAACATATCATATTCTATTCAAAATTCAGAAACATTTCTCATCAAATTCTTACAGGACCAAATTATCTTAGCCAGTTTGTTATTATTACCTAAAACGAATACTTTAAAATTTGTTTTTAGTAATTGAAATAAAAAAAAGAAAATGACAGAAATAAGTTTAAGTACAATTAGCTACAAAAACTGAAATACAACTATATAAGCCATATAGAAATGTAAAAAAAAATACAGATAAAAATGACATTAGCTCATAACAAAATGACTAAAATGTAAATGCAAATTAAAACTGAAAATATTTTTAAAAAAAGTTAATTTTCAATATTAATAAATACTATTATAGAACATAAATAACAATCTTAGAGCCCAAACCAGTTTGCTGGGCTTAGCTGGCTCAGGTTGGTCTGTTGGCTTGTTCATAAAGGGGTTTTGGGCACCAGCTGGATAACCAGCTAAACAATAAACACCAACATGACTCGGATTAGAAACCACCTAGACCAGTTTTAACCAGCTAAAAAAAAGCAGGGATACAATTGACATTATAGCTTTATGTTCTTGCTATATGTCATATAAATGGTTTTATTTGTGTCAAAGACATTTTATGAGACATAACTGAGAACATTTTTGAGCTTATACTTTCACATTCCCTGTCTAGATGTTCAGGTTTTGTGTGTTTTAGTTACCAGTATATGAGACAAAGTTGTTATTCTCCCCATGTTTACTTGCACCCCCCCTCAGACGTGAGATTACACAAACAATCTACATTTTGTCCTCTTGCAGCTGGGGGTGTGAGCAATCCTGGATTTAGTGTCCTTTTTAGTGTTCTGAAGGACATTAACACATCTAAATGTTCAAGTTTGGCTGCTAGACTGGTATTATCTGGTGCCTTGGCTCTGATGACCTGATGGAAGTGCTGAAACGGCTGTGTTCTGGTCTCTAGCATGGGGAGTCGGTCTCTCTGTTGGTTTTTGTTGGCTGAGCCAGAAGCCACTTGCTGGGGCAGATTGTGTGTTTGTGCCTGGAACTGTCTGTAAAAGACAGGCTGTCCCGAACATGCTGCTTCAGAGTGATTCTGGGTGTGTATGATTGAAGCCCATGGTGTTCCATTTGAGAGGACACAATGTGTGTCTTTCGCTATGAAAAAGAGAGTAAGGACCATTTTGGTAGATGCTGAAGGATTTGCGATGATTTCGGGGCCTGAAATTCTGTCATCATTTACTCACTCTCAAGTTGTTCCAAACCTGTATGGCTTACAGCCACTTGTTTATATAATGAAGAAGAATAAGGTGAATAAGGACCAAAATGACAAAAAAAAACAAACATAAAAGTGCCTTGAAACCAGTTCATGTGACTTGTGTGCTATATATCAAGTACAGTCAGTCAGTTCCAACCGGTTTTATGAACTAGAATTAAAGTATTATTTATATCACAGTGTAGTATTTATTACTAATTTGAATTAGCTTTTATTTCATATATATAGTTTTAATTTTAATGATTAGTAATTTTGTAAACATTATAAACAATTCCATTTAGCTTTAATGTATTTTTATTTTAATAATTGTAGTACTTCAGCTTGAAATTGTTTCAGTTCAGTTAGGCTAGTTGTTATTGAATATTTATATTTAATTTATTTCAGCTTTATTTCAATTAATGAAAACAATTGTTAATAGTTTTAGTTAACTGTAACGCTGTTGTGAAGTGGCTCAATCGATTCATTAACAACAAGCTGACTCAAAATTCATGTGATTCTTTTGTAAATTGCTATTTTCATTCTTCCAAATACTCTTTTTATGCTTTATGGATGAATTAAAGTCATACGGGTTTGGAACAACATGAGGTTGAGTAATTGATGACAGAATCTTAATTTTTGGATGAAGTAACCCTTTAACTTGTTTACACAATGGGCTTTATTTTGGAAAGGACTGCTGGAAAACCCTCTAACTTACTCTTACTGTGTGAGAGAGACTCATGGAGACCACATTTTGTGTGTGTGAATGGCTGGTTTATGCATACGTGTGTTTTGGGCTGACTCAATTCAGTAGGTCAGTTAACATAGCAATGATAAGCATCTTCCTCCCTCTCCCTCTCTCCCTCTCTCCCTCTCTCTCTCTTACACACGCATGTGTGCATGTGGAGTTTGGGCCTGGTTTTGTTTGTCATGCATTTTTTAGATCAGATTTGGTGTCTGTTGGCATGATTTCAAAGATAAAAAGACATTGTGTAAGCGTGATTAAGGGAAAACGAATAACCCTCGTTTGCTTATTCTATCTGTTCTTTGCTGTCTTCTGACTGTGAGAAGCTCATGTGCTGCACTTAGTTTTCTCAGATGTTTTTTTCCCTCCACCATTTAAAACGATGGTTCTTACTGAGAAATGTCCTGGTCATATTCCAAAAGTCTAAAGAATCAATTTAATATATGCATTGCATTGTGACATTATTTTCATGACAAGTAAACAAATAGTCATACATTCTCATTACCATAATGTTAAAAAATATAATTCTCGTTGTAATGACATAATGAAAACCAGCTTTTTCAGGGACAGTTATTTTTACCTTGTTGGTTAAGTTACAACCCAAAATGTCACCAGATTTTAACTGTCCTCTTTCTGGTTACCATTAAAATCTATAAACAGGACTGAGATCATCCCAGCACTTCATGGTGCTTTATTTTTTTTTTTTAATTTTCAATTCATTTCTACATAGATTGTTTATGCTCACTGTGCTCATGTTTAGTCTACTATAGCCATGTTTTGAAGGCTCGTTCATGCTCACAAGTGGCCTCTTGCTGTTTAATTGTATTTTGTGTGTATGTATTTGTGAGGTTGTTGAGATCGTCTCTCTGCTAGGCCCCCTTTGCTGTGCTCTGGACATCCAGTCTTTAGTCTACCTCGTGACTGTCCGCCACGTTCGCTTATGAGTGTTTCTTTCAGGCCTCAGTCCACCCATCCTGTCAGAGCTCCATGTCCTTCTGGTGTGCTTCTGAAGATTAGCTCTCAGAACTCTCTGGTGTGTTGATTTTGAGTGTGTCGGGCAGTTTTGGTCTAGTGCACACAGCAGTTGTCTGGGTCTTTGACCTTTACAGGTATGCTTGAGTGAGAGGTTTTTGTTCCCTTTGTCATTTCTCTCACTCCTTGTTGTTATATGTTCTATTCATTTTTTTCTGCAGTTTCATATTTGACCCCTTAGGAACCCAAATGGGCATTAATAATGGATGATTTGTGATTTGTGTGGGACTATCTTTGAGCAGAAGTAATTTGAGCATATGTGTTTGTAAAGGTTGTATATGATTTGACCATTAAAAAGGGCCTTGTATAGGCTTTCACTGGTTTCTTTCACTAGTTGAATTTTGGGTCTGCATGTGGGTTGAGCATTATCTGAACCACTTTTGCCCAGACATTTCACCTTTAACCCCAAATCCTCTTTGTGTTGGGGAGTAAGTGTGATCGATGAGGCCATTATTAGCGAGCCACCCCCTGGAGGGTGACCTAAAAAGCCGAGGTCTGAACGCAGGGGGCAGTCAGGGGGGTCACCGTTCCATTCCCCTCCGTCTGGAGGACAATCTCACTCCTCATTGGGTTTTTCAGTATTTGAGGGCCACAAAGACCAAGGGAGAGTTTTCTAATATGCCCAAGGAATTTTGTGGAAATGAAATTAGGTGTAGGAAGCTTATTGATGTCATGGCTCAAGAACAGATTATTAGCTTTCGGGAATTGAATCGTTTTTATTGAACTGTTTTTTATTCTGTGTAAGTGATTGTCATGTGCATGTGTTTGGGATTTTGTGTTTACTTTCTGTTTACTTTTGTTTCACGTACAGCGGTCGAGTGTTTACGTTGGACTTCAGTGCCATGCGAGTTTGTGACCTGGAGTTTGACCTCGTCAGGCGTCTGTCCACGCCTTCCAGCTCCACAACCACACCCACAAACACAAGCCCCACCCCTAACTGCCTGACTGTGTGGAAATACTACTGTAGAGATAACTTTGGCTGGAGGGAATATTCAGAGGTGAGAATCACACCAATCTGATCCATTCTTCCCCTTCTTTTATAATTCCTTTTAGACAATTATAATTTTACATTAGATTTCTATTTGAAATAAATGCTGTTATTTTGAACTTTCTATTTGTCAAAGAATCCTGAGCAGCACAACTGTTTTTAACATTGATGATAAGAAGAAATGTTTCTTGAGCACCAAATCAGCCTATTAGAATGATTTCTGACAAATCATGTGACGCTGAAAACTGGAGTAATGGCTGTTGAAGATTCAGCTTTGTTATAACAGGAATAAAATGCATAATAAAACCTATTACAATAGAAAAAAGTTATTTAAAATTGTAATAATATTTTACAATATTACTGTTTTTATTGTATTTTTGCTCAAATAAATGCCAGCTTGTTAAGCATGAGAGACATCTTTTAAAACATTAAAAGATCATGCAGACCTCAAACTTTTTGTGATTTTAGAATGGAAATAAAACCTAAACCAATTCTTGAAAGATTTTGTGAGATTTACCTTTTAAGGTCTTTTTAAATAGTGCTAAGATTGCACACATAAATAGCAGGTTTTCAATTGGCTCAGTAAATGTACAGTACGTGTGATTGCTTTGTGTATTGGGTCTCAAGTCAAACTGGCTCGCACACACCAGAGAAGTTGTCCTGTTCTACTCACAAGCGCCTGAAATCAGAACATTGCATAAGCTTTCCTTTTAAAATAAATCTCCTATGATGGAGTTTGACCTCGTCAGGCGTCTGTCCACGCCTTCCAGCTCCACAACCACACCCACAAACACAAGCCCCACCCCTAACTGCCTGACTGTGTGGAAATACTACTGTAGAGATAACTTTGGCTGGAGGGAATATTCAGAGGTGAGAATCACACCAATCTGATCCATTCTTCCCCTTCTTTTATAATTCCTTTTAGACAATTATAATTTTACATTAGATTTCTATTTGAAATAAATGCTGTTATTTTGAACTTTCTATTTGTCAAAGAATCCTGAGCAGCACAACTGTTTTTAACATTGATGATAAGAAGAAATGTTTCTTGAGCACCAAATCAGCCTATTAGAATGATTTCTGACAAATCATGTGACGCTGAAAACTGGAGTAATGGCTGTTGAAGATTCAGCTTTGTTATAACAGGAATAAAATGCATAATAAAACCTATTACAATAGAAAAAAGTTATTTAAAATTGTAATAATATTTTACAATATTACTGTTTTTATTGTATTTTTGCTCAAATAAATGCCAGCTTGTTAAGCATGAGAGACATCTTTTAAAACATTAAAAGATCATGCAGACCTCAAACTTTTTGTGATTTTAGAATGGAAATAAAACCTAAACCAATTCTTGAAAGATTTTGTGAGATTTACCTTTTAAGGTCTTTTTAAATAGTGCTAAGATTGCACACATAAATAGCAGGTTTTCAATTGGCTCAGTAAATGTACAGTACGTGTGATTGCTTTGTGTATTGGGTCTCAAGTCAAACTGGCTCGCACACACCAGAGAAGTTGTCCTGTTCTACTCACAAGCGCCTGAAATCAGAACATTGCATAAGCTTTTCAAAATGATTGCCCTAGTTTCTTTTCATTTGCTTTTCCTCAGTCGCTTTAAAAATATATATGGTAAGGGAATCGCCGCAGTTCCAGCACTGGTAATCAAGTCGAGAGAGGAAAGTAGCACAAGATAAAAGTTAAAAGAGGACTCATAAGGTAGTCACACTGACTTGAGGGATAACCTTTACCTGCTAGAAATCAAGTGGGATGTTTATTCACAGGACTGAACCCTGACCTCCATTTAACCACAACCTCAAGACTCTCATAAACACACGTGCCAAAACTGCAGAAGAAATGAGTGAAATGTCATGATTCTCAATACCAATTTCAGTACCACAGCAAAAAAATGACCATTAATGTTTTTAAAATAATTTTTTTATTAATGAATTTCTACATATTTCTTCATTTAATCTCATGTTTCCTCTCTTCTTTAGGACTCTCGGTGGCCTTTCCTCAGCATTTCTCTCCTCCCTGGAAAGTTCTGGAAACCAGCCTCTCTCTCCTACGTCAAGCGGCCCCTCTAAAGTGTACCCTGAGACTTGGTTACCCATGAATACCAGTCAGGACTTCCTGCAGGTGCCCGTCTCCCGGGACGACCGCAGCTACCGGACTGTCTACAGCCTCTTCCACAAGACCGTATCTGAGACCAAGTTCCGCATCCTGAAGATCCTCCGTGTCCAAAACCCCTTCCTCTGGGAGAAGTACAAAAGGTGTGGTAGGAGATTCTCAAACAATGTCTAGATCCTTTGTGCTATTCAGAGTTGTTTAGACCAGCGGTTCTCAATTCCAGTCCTCGCGTACCCCCGCTCTGCACATTTTGTATGTTTCTCTTATTGCTTCAGACGTTTGTTATATTTGACTGTAAGTGCCCTGCGAAGTGGACATTACCGGATATTCCTCCATGATTCCAGTTTGAAGGGAACGTATATGTTCCATACAAAGGGCATTTAAGTGTGCGAGACGTGAATTTAAATTGTATTTATTTACAGAGGTATATTATGTCCCACTTCACGCTTCTCTAGTAAGTTTCGTATGTGTGTGAAGACGCAGCGCAAATCTGTAAATGAATATTCCGAAGTGAAGTAAACTTCAACGGATTTCCCCTGCTCAGGGAGTAGGGAGCAATGGAAACTGTGTAGGGTCCATGTCAATCGGCACACAGTTCATGCACGGAGCTCACTTCTAACGAGATGATGATCTGAATCAGGCGCGTTAACAAAGCGACATACGAAACATGCAGAGCGGGGGTACGTGAGGACTGGAATTGAGAACCGCTGCCTTGGGATATAGTTTTAAACACGGGATGGCTTTACAAAATAGAGGAATAATATTTGGAATATAATACGCTCTGTAGGTACAACTTGTTCATGCTTTGTGTGTTTTTGTGCTGTATATTGGAGTGGCATACTGTCTATATGCACAAACTAAAGCTGACTATCTGTGTCCATGCAGTGAAGCCGGGTCAATGTCCCAAACCAAAGAACATTCCACTGTGTGCTGAAAGGTGTTTCCATGATGGCCAGTGTCCTGCCACACAGAAATGTTGCCCAACCACCAGTGGCCGAGCATGCAGTGAACCCCGTTGTAACGGAAGCGGCCAGGGAAGCGGCCAGGGAAGCGGCCAGGGAAGCGGCCAGGGAAGCGGCCAGGGAAGCGGCCAGGGAAGCGGCCAGGGAAGCGGCCAGGGAAGCGGCCAGGGAAGCGGCCAGGGAAGCGGCCAGGGAAGCGGCCAGGGAAGCGGCCAGGGAAGCGGCCAGGGAAGCGGCCAGGGAAGCGGCCAGGGCAGCGGTCAAGGGAGCGGCCAGGGAAGCGGAGCGGGGGTACGCGAGGACTGGAATTGAGAACCGCTGGTTTAGACTATTTATCAGGGGCCAAAGCAGTGTTTAGTAAACACTGACATTACGAAAATGGTTGTTGGTTACTGGTTGAAGGTTATCAGGACAGATCTGTGTTTCATAAACGTCTGTAAAGTGAGTATTTAGCCGCACCCCTGAACAAGACTCTGAGGCTTTGATGTTTGCTTTCATGCTGCTAGGTGTCAACCGCGTAAATGGTTCTTACTAAGTTTTGTTGGTCGGAAACAGATGTGTTTTTGTGGTAGGTCCGTGAGGTGAACTTCTTAGCGTGTGAAATGTGGAACATGATAGAGGAAGTGAGTGAGAGAGGAAAGGGTGCTAGTGGTGGGGCCTTGGTGTAATTTAATAAGACTTTTCGTGCCCCTCAGGACAATAGGTTCCAGAAAAGGGATGAGTCAGGAAGAAAAATGTATTGCTGTTGACTCATGAGGTGTGTTTGTGCGTGCGTGTTTGTTCACTGCTATCTTAAGCAGGCGACCAATTAACTAATCCTTGCATATTTCCATGTGTCTAATAATGCCATAGCTGGAGTGATTGCTGTTTCCGAACGCACAGTAGACAGTATGTTTGTAAATAATATAATAATGTGGTGACAGTTTAGGTATATTACATTTTGGTAGTCTAGTATAGGCATTTTCAAACTTCTTTTATGCCAAGGACCCTTAAAGGCACAATATGTAATTTTTTGCCACTAGAGGGCGCGTATTCAAAACAAACAAAGAATTTATTTATTTACGAGAATTTATTTACGATGTTAGATGACGCTGTGACTGAGTGTGGAATCATGGGAGTTGTCGTCTTCATCCCCACAGCCGAAGCAATCAGATGGGACTCGACCAGAAATCAGGTTCATGGATGAGCTAATGTATTAAAGATTTATTAACATCGTAGTATGAAGCAGAGAGAGGTGGAAAGCCGTCAAAGCGAAACGAGGCCGCTGAAGCAATTGCTAATGAGAGATGAGAGTGACACATGGCTCGAAAGCAGCAGAGCTTTTATTATGCCTGAAGCAGAGTGAGGCGGAAAGCCGTCGAAGCAAAACGAGGCAGCTGAACAAGCGCGACACACGGCTCGAGAGCAGCGGAGCTTTTATTATACCACATTCGACCGCTTCCGCTCCTCCCGGAAAGCAGCGGAAGTAAGCAGCGCTGTTTTATCATACTAGATACATTTGAACGTTCTGTTATAATGCTACTCTGTGCGGTCGTCACCTGTCTAATAAAATGCATAGCATATTAAAGCGTCTTTGGTGTTTCCATGTTTTCTACAAAAAAAAACCAGAAATCGAGGGGTTATGACGTCATTAGCAGGCGACACAATGACACTATGGACACGGTCCGTGTCACTAGTTAAAATTGCTTATTTCTCTGGATTTAAACATTCTTCGAAACATTTGGGATAATGTAAGTACACAAGTCAACAAAATATATAACACTGTTCTAGTGGTTTTTGGATATTTTAATAAAAAAATCTTACATATTGTGCCTTTAAATACAATGAACCCCCTTTCTTAAAATATGAAGGCAGCTAAATATTTTAATGTGTAAAGACCGACCCATTTATACTCTGCGAGAAAATATTAAGCGTGATACTATTGACAACATGTTGTTTCTAAAAACTAAGTAATAGCTTTTGTATAGTCATTGTACTGAAGCCAAATCAAATTACTAATCATTTCTGTAATGTATGTACTGTGTATTAAGTTCATAACATATTTTTGTTCTACCGACTATTAGAGTGATGAACAATTTTTCACAAAATTATGTGTAGAATTGGTTCTTTCTGTCAAAAAAAAAAAGGTGAGAATAGAATAGTGTTGTCAAAAGCACTGGTACTTTGGTACCAAGTCATTATTATTAAAAAAATATAAAAAAAACTACACCAGCCTTTCAGTTTTTATATTTTCAACCAGTTAAATTAAATAGTTAAATAGTTTTAATAGTTTTTGCTTTTGTACTGAAACTGGTACAGAGAACCGTGACATTTTACTGGTATTGGTGGCAATAAATACAATAGAATAAAATTACATATTTGCATGATTTAAGACTTTTGACAGGTTTTAGAAATTATAATAAAACAGTAATATTATCAAATTAAAAATTGTTCAACTTTAAAAAAGAAAAAAACTTCTAGCCAAGAACCATCCACTTAGACAAGAATAGACTGATCAATATGTAAAACATTCATGTATAGTTTGCTTGTTTTGCTTGGCTTATTGAGGTGAATTGAAATCTGAAATCCTATATATTTCTGAGAGGCCAACTGAATATAGAGGTGTGGATATCTTATTTACATGCTACTACGTGTCTCAAACAAAACTCTTGAATATCATTCAAAGATTCAGTGCAGTGAACCTCACAACGTTTGGCAAATCCAGTGATTAGTTCATCCTTGCAAGCACTTATTGTAGTAGCCTGGGAAAGAGAGCTGAAGGAATAAAGGTTGGTGTGTTCATATGCTTGTGCAGGTGAAGATCTTTTGTACAGTAGTTGTGAGTGTTTCCAGGGTGTTGGCCAACGAGCGAGAGAGAGAGAGAATGTCACTGGGTAAGCATGAAAGAGGATTTGTTTGCATCAGTAAAAGAAAGAACAAAAGAGACTGATGGCAGAGTAGCTTGGTGTAAAAGAGTTTAAAGGAGATGAAAGGAGAAGCTGAAACAACACGAGTGATGACTTTACTGACGCATATGGAGTCACTGCTCCCCGGCAATGTGCGCGTAAGCGTGTCAGTCGATGATTGTGACAACTGGGCCTTGTCAATGGCCGTAGGGTCACTTGAGGTCAGCAGGGGCCAGGCAGTGTCACACTGAGTACTCTACTGATCAGAGAGTTTCTTTCAGCCAGGCTGACCTTGCGGGGCCCACAACAATCAAGGCACAGACTCTAGGCTAATCGAGCCCTGTTGCTGACTGGGTTCACTCAGGTCCCTGGCGCTCATCTGTTTACTCACCCTTTCTGTACCCTCTCACTTCTCTGTTTCCATTTGACAAGATGACAGGCTGAGTGCTCCAGAGTTTGGCTTGTTGTCTTGTTTTTGTGCAAGGGCAGCTGGCATGCTCTGACACAACAAAGTTGTGTTTTATTTTAGTCCTAGAAGTTTGCATAAGGTAATTGTTGGCATCAGGGTTCAAAATTCACTTTTTTGCACACCTGTCACAGTGGTGGCTGAATTGAGAAGATTTACCAGATGTGAGGTTGTAAAGGCAAAGAATTAACAGTACAATGTGGTGTGGTCCCACATGTGGGATTTTTATTTCTGTGCCCATGGGAGTACGGTCCCACATATGGGTTGTAGAATGTTCGGTGACGTCACATAACTGCCAAATTCAAACCAAATTCAGAGAAGGATGCGCTCAGCACTTGTCATATAATCACAACTATGCAATGTTTTCAACCACATGATGTTTATTTTAAGTTTCGGACATTTAAATGAACATAAATACTAATAAAACCATACATTTAGAGTTTGTAAAATACACACTGATGTCTATGGATGCAGCAATAAGAATCCATTCTAATATAATTTGCCGACGTGTTTTATTCATATCAGATACACATAGTGTAAGTAACTAAAATTCACTCTATTCTTCTCTCAGTTCACCGGCCACTTACTTGCATGTATTTCGGGAGAAACTGATGAATTTACGTGCTGTAAATCCTACTGACAGGACTCTCTGAACTGCAGCGCGCACAAACATGACGGCACCCATCTCACGTTATAGATTAAGATCATTTATAAAGGTTTTTAAATGACAAAACAGACTCACTTACACGTATTTGAAAATCAGAATAGCAGACAGTTGATGACATGGTAAGCAAGTTTTGATTAAAAAAGGAAAAACAAATTAAAAGTGATCCATCTGTCATACAGTGTTATTGTGGCTGCGGTGTCACATGACAAGCATGATGCGTGACCATGGAAACAATAAGGGGAAATGTTCTAAAATAGAGGTCACCTTAAAAAAACTCGCTCTGGGGGACAGCTAGAATATTCTAAACTTACTTGTGAAAGGGTTATGAGTTTTTAATTTCACAGGCCTATTTTGTGGCATGATTTAATACACTGTTAAATTTAATCTTTAGCATATCTCAAAATATTCATGTAGCATGTAAAACTATTCATTTGAATTTTTAGTATATCTTTAATTTCTTTATACAAGATATCTAATTTTAATATCTGCAATTTATCAATTATTGTCCAGAACATAAATAACTATCAGCTTATCGGTATCAAGTATCAACTAGGATTGTAATGTGCATCCCTAGCCTCTGTAAATCACATTAAGATATACTAGATAAACATATGATGCTACATTTTATTCTTTGGAAATATTATTCCTTTATTCCTTGCATAAAATTATTGTTCTTACAATACGATGAAAGCCATGCATTGTGTTACTGGCCAACTGGTTTGAATCGTGGTTGCCTTACACAGTCTTAGTCTGTTCTGTCTTTACTTTTGTCTAATGCTAACTCCCGTTTTCTGGTTTTGGCTTTTAACAATGTTAACTGAAATGTCTGTTTCTCCTTCTCTTTACAGGAAGAAGGAGTACATGTCACGGCACATGTCAGAGATGGACTGCATGCTGAACGAACGCCACCTGTTCCACGGCACGTCCCAGGATGTGGTGGAGGGCATCTGTAAGCACAACTTCGACCCACGTGTGTGTGGCAAGCACGCCACCATGTTCGGCCAAGGCAGCTACTTTGCACGCAAGGCTGTCTATTCTCACAACTTCTCCAAGCGCTCGCCTCGTGGTGTGCACTACATGTTTCTGGGCAAAGTCTTGACGGGCAAGTTCACAGTGGGCAACCCTTCCATGCGCCGCCCACCCCCACTGAATCCAAGAGACACCTCCAGCGACTTATTTGACTCCTGTGTGGACAACTGGATGGACCCGCAGATCTTTGTCATCTTCAGCGATGATCAGAGTTATCCTTACTTCATCATTCAGTATGAAGAGGTGGGCAATACGGTGGATATTTGAAGATCACTGCACATCTAGATTCCTGCACAAGAGACCCGTGTGCACATTCGGCCAGTTTGAAAAGAGACAGGAGTAGTTGTGCACCAGCAATCCGAATAGAACTCATGAACCATATGGGATACGTTCGGATATTGTTCCCAGCCTCAATCATGTGTGAGGGTTTCTGTGTGACCTTTCAGTGCGCGTCTTCTCATGCCTCTGTGAATACAAATGGGGATTGTGTTTATGGCATCCCTCCTCTGTGCTGGACAGTTTAGTGTGCGAATCATGTGTGTGGATGAGTGTCTCTGCTGTGGCTTCCATGGATGACCATGGATTGGAACCCACATTAGTAAGAGGCACGTCAATGACTCGAGGCTGTTGTTGCAGCTTCACATTCTTATTCTTTTTTTTTTTCCCCAAAAACTCACCGTTCCCATTGCTGCCATTTGCGTTCCATACTTGCTATTTGTTCGAAGTTGTAAATATGATCTCCTTGTTTATATTTGAACTGTGTGCCTTTTGTCCATAAATAAATTGTTTATTTATGTTAGTCAATGTAACAAGTAAATAAAAACAATTTAAAGAAAATGTGACTGATGTTAAGTTGGTGTTTGTTATATAGCCTGATTTGCATTGTGTTCAGGTAAAGCATTGTAATGCAACGTTCAATTTTTACAGTTCATACAGTTTCATCTTTGACCCCATTTGCCGCTGACCTTTTTAATCATACCCTGTGGTTTTCTAACAATTCACACAACATTGTTACATGGGTGGTGCCAACATGAAAATGAAAACATGATGACAGGAACAGAGGATGATCCTTTGAGTATCTAGATACATTGAGTTGACGATACAACATTGAAGGCATCTCATGACATTCAGAAAGTGAAAGGGATTTAAGTCAGACACTGCTAAAATGCTAACATTTCATGGCAGGGATTTGCTTGTTACAGAGTTAAATGTGATTAATCTTTAAGCATGTTCTCCAAATGAAAAATCTCTCTTGCTCTCTTAACCCACACCATTCTCTCTCTTGCCCTTCCTCTCCAGAGGACTCTGGGTTCCTAAGCTCCATGCTTAATGAATCCCAGAGTACCAGAAAGAGAAAGGAGGCTGCAAGGGAACACCCTTCCCACTCTGGAGCTGGCCAGTTTAGGAAACAACAGGTCCCTCAAAGTCTCAATATGCCTGATAACATGCTACCCAACCCCTTTTCCAATCCTTAATCTTTCCTTTCGTTTCTCAGTCTGAACTAAACACATCCTTGACCTTGTGTCTGATGAGTAATTTTCAGTATCAAAGAATGATCTGAGTCACAGTGTGGGATAGGCCCTGACAGATGTCCAGAACTTTAACCAGATATAAAGTGTTGTTAGATGGCTTAACAAACAACTCTGGAACCCATAGAAAAGCCAGATGCTGTTTGTCTGCCAGACTGCTTTTGTGGAATTATTACTGGCATACAGCCGCTATTGCCAAGGAGGCAGGGAAAGGCAAAGGACAGTCAGCAGGCAGAAGACAAGAAGGGTCTTCCCTTGAGGGAAGTCACTGATTACAACGTGCTGGGATGTGACCCTGAAAGAAGAAACTTAAGAAATTGGAAATCAGGTCTCTTACCCTTCCTTTCTACCCACTACCAGTTCTCTTTCTGCATACTTCCCCCTGACCTTTCTCCCCCAATGCCTGTGCCATCTTGTGTTTCTAAAGGCCACGGAGAGCCGCAATCAAAGACGTGAGCCCATGGCCACAACTTTGATTTACTTTCCAGACATCCACTGGATGATATGAAGCAGACACAATCCCTGCAATAATTCCTAGTCACCAGATTGATAAATGATTGATAAATCTCACACTGGAGAAAGACATATTTGTTCAAGGTGTGTCTGGCAGAGACAGGCAAAGAATGTGCATGATTGCAGATATTTGACTCATGTTGATTTCAAATATTTGATTTCTTGTTTTCTTCTTAGAGGAGGGTTAGGCTTGGGGAGAGCCAAAAAGAGCTCATAGAGAGCTCCATGATGCTTGAATCCCCATACTTCCTGCTCAACCCAGTTCCATATTGCTCCAATGACGCCCAGCTGCAACCAATGAACATTCCAGCTCAGTTTTTTCATCATTTCAAATTTCTGCCATAAGCCCTTAAGAGCAACAGGGGCTGACTAAATATTGGAAGGAGATTGTGCCCTGAACTTAATGTGACCTTAAAAGCAGCCCTGCTCCACATGACCTCTGCTTTCTGCCCTGAAAAAGAGGGCTTTAACAGAGTTTTCCATGCATGGTCAAGCTCAGGATTTCCATTCTGGATTTTCTTCTTTGCACGCTTCCAATTCATCTTGCCGTGTCATTTTCTTTTATCTAGTGCCCTTTTCCTCTGTTTTATCTCTTTTCTTCTTGTGGGAAAAGAATATTTTGGATTTCTATAAGGGCTTGACAGTTTGACGGAGCAATCAAGCCGTTCTTTCACTTTTCTTTGGGCTGTCTACCTGTCATTGTCTGTTTCTCTAATTAGATTTTAGAGTAGGTCAGGCAGTGGATAGGCAGATCAGGGAGGTTAGGGCCAAGGCTGTCCAGCAATGGACTCATTTGCAGTGCAGAAACTTGATAGGAGGCTGAATTGGACTGAAGAATATATAGCGGCTCTATCTAGAGGCCAACAGGTTATCAAGTTCCTCTAAGTCCAGAGCTCTGCTTCCATTTCCCTGCTTTATGCCGATAGCTGACTCACTCATGCTTCCATCTGAGCAGTAAATCTTGGGTGTTGTGAATGAATGTGAATGAATTTCTTACTCAGTAGGCTAGCTGTCCTAAAACATGATTACCACGCCAATGCATACATGATGATTATTTCATACTGTTTCAACCTCTCTTGACAGACTGCGTAGTTCTGTTTTCTCAGAAAAACTCCATCTGGAGGATTAGGGTGGGAGGAAAGGCGGAGAATGGAGAACAGGAAGGAGGCTCATTGCTAGTGTATACAGGTGGAGCAAATGGGGCAGGACAGATCTCATTCTGTGCTTAATGTCTGATGGATTTGAACATATACATACATTTGAAATCTTACATGCATGCATCTAGAGACTGAAAATGCTAAATGCTTTTATGATCATGCAAGCAATTATAGTTTCATTCTGAGGGTCTTTTACTGTGCCTCTACTGTCTTTTCATGTTATTTGCTCCCTTTCATGTGAAGCACTAAGCAGGTGAAATGAAAACAAGGACAAGGAAACAAATAGTAAAACCTCTACCATCAAGGCAGGTAGTGCTGCTTGTACATCGTCATGAACACTTTGTTCACTGGGCAGGGTTGTTGGTTGTGACAAGCCCCCTGGTACCATTTCCTGACTGGAGCAATGGGAGGTTCTGGAATATGCTGGATGCCCAGAGGAAAGGTAAAAAAGAAGAGGGAGGTGTGAAGCTAGGGGCAGCGTACGTGGCGCACAGCTTGAGACTGGTGCTGGAGGTGGAGACAAAAGGAACAGGATGCTGAGCCCTGCAGGAATGCATACGCCCTGGCAGTATGTGCATAACACTCATCCCTCCCACCCACAACCACACTGGAAAAAGAGAGCGACATACTGAGAGAAAGAAAAAGATGGACACAGAGAGGGCAGGGTCAGTGAGGAACTGCATTAGGGTGAAAGAACCTGGTGCATCTATCGTAAAGGAAATGATCTCTGAAGATAAAATTGCAGGGTAGATTTGACTGTTGCATCACAGTTTCTGGTTATCACAAGAATCAGGACTGATAAACATGCCACCAATGTGATTCACAGGACTCTAATGTGTACACTTGAAAATAAATTGTTTACGCTGTGCAGGATGTTCCTGATTAACATAAAGTGTGAAGTAAAAGGACACATGCAAAGACATGTTTACTGACACTAAATACACACAAAATAAACAGTTTGGGCATGCACATCTGGGTTAATACAAACTCTTTAGAGCCATTGCAGACTTTTTTCCCTCACACATACACATACATACAATCATATCTATGGACACAGGGTCTCATTCTTTATTTATTGCTCTTGCACACATTTTAAAGTAATAGTAAACTCATCAAAACTATGCAGCAACATAGAAGGAAGTATGGATATTGCAACAAAACTATTTTCTTAATTTATTATATTTATATAAAATGTATATTGTAAGAAAATGTCTAAGTAACATGGAAACTTCATAAGATGGCAACTTTAAGCAATACATTTGAATTCACCAAAAAATAATATGATTATATATACATATATAGCCACCTTTTGCCTTGATAACATCTTTGCAGACGTAGGCAACTATACAGTATGAGGAAGCCACCTGCGATGCTTTTTGAATCATCTTGAAGAAGTTCCCATGTATGCTGGACACATGTTGGCAACATTTCCTTCGCTATTTGTTCCAATTCATCCATTTTTAAAGAATTTGCAAAACTTATATTTGATTACAGAACTAATTTGAATCATGTAAACAAAATCCTTCAGAGCAAATAATCATAAGACATTTAAATTCTGTCAACTGTATTCAAACTTTTGACTGTATGTCCACTTTGAACCAGATGTTCCACATTGTTGTCTCTTAACAACACATTCTCACTCCCAACTCGTCACATATTGACACTTGGTCATGACCCCTTGGCGTCGCTTTTTGACGCTCGGGGTACCCCTTTAGTGTCACTTTTCGACGTGCAGGGTACTCCATTGCTTTAAGTTGTTTGCCTTATGCGTCAGATCAAGACGCATTTAATGATTTGCATGCATTTTCAAAAATGGAAATCATTTTATATAAATTTATACTTTCATAGATATTTTGGAGCACCTAACCCCACCCTTACCCTAAACCTACCTACCCACTTCTGAACAATATAAAAGACGTAACAGGCAAATACAAGTAAGTCACAGGTATTTATTTCAAAACTGACCATAAAAAAGTAGTATAAAAGTATTACAAACAAGTCGTGTTGCATTCCATGTCTTCTGAAGCCATACAATATCTTTATGCGAAGAACAGAGTAAATCATAAGGTTTTAATAGCTGAAAATGATTCCGCTCCCTTAAAGCGCGACGCTCACATCACATTCAAAAAGATACTCTCGAACATTAGCATGACGCAATCGGTCACGAGACACACAAGAGCCAATGGCATTTCACAACATATTGACATATATCTGCATATTGCATATGCGTCTGCATATTGACGCCAAATGGGTTCTTATTTAAAGCAATGGAGGACCCTGCACATCGAAAAATGACGCTAAAGGGGTACCCTGTGCGTTAAACTGTGACGCCAAAGGGTCCTGACCAAGCGTCAATATGTGACGAGTTGGGAGTGAGAACGTGTTGCTCTTAAATGTATGTTCCTATGAAAGCCTTCAAGCTAAGCTAACATTCAATAGCCCAGCTAGATTCCAGGCCTGTGTTGTACAGAATGCATGCCGTCGTGTCAAGTGTCAGCCTGCCTGGGTGTTGCTAACAACTGTAACTTCCCCTAACCTGAGGGATCTCAATCTAGCCTCTAACATCTTCAAACATTCCTGAGTCTTAAGTCACTGGTAACAGTTTTCATTGAAGGTACACAA